TGCAATAAAATAATGAACAAAACAGGTTTTCTAATTGGGAACAGCGCTTTGAAAGGCTTCTTTAAAACCTGTTTGTAACCAGTTTGTCTGTCTCCTGAACTTCCTACCCCACCTGGTTATCTCTCCCTTCAGTTTTTTTGCAATTTCAAACATTTTGAAGTTGCATCCAAAAGGAAGAACTTCCCAAGCAGAACACTGCCGACAATGGCAACAAAAAAATGTTGTGGCATACCATCTTTGGGGAGTGTCACTGATGTCCAGGTGAGGTTGTCAGCTTAACAGCTCTTGATCGACATCAAGCCAGGCAATCGGTCACGTGCCTTGTGCTTTCACATACTGAGCCTGTGCTTATGCTTCTTTTTTAGGTGATCCCATCTCATCAGTCTAAGGACAAGGTTCATTTATGTTCCCATCTTCCTTTCTCTGTTCCCCTTCCCTCTAGAGAGGCACGCTTGCCTCCTAGGGTATGCTCACATACTGAAAAACAACTTACAAAAATATCCATTTCTGCCCACAGCATTTTTAGAGGCCTTGCACAAAGGCACCCAGAAGACAGTAATGTAAAAACATCTGGGGCAATGGAAAATTTACGCTCCTTAAAAAGGGAGCAAAAAAAATCCTCAATTAATGTGCCACTCATAATGGCACACAGGTACAGTTACATGCCTAGCATCTCCACTGCAGCCCTGCTTACATCAAAGCACTTCTCGCTGACCTTTAGGAACCCCCAAGTCAGCTGCTGGGTTGCAGTAAACATCTCACTGCAATTCTTTATGCAGGCCACATTGAAGCTCTCGGCTCCAGCCTCAGTCTGCTTACCAGCTCATCTAATTGTAGGTTTCAACCCCACGGGAATAAAGTCCAGTGGGAATAGTTAATGGGCCTTGCATCTGCTCAGGAGAGACAGCACATGGAGCAAGCAAACAGAGCAGTAACCAAGACCGAAACCATCGAATGCTTAAACACACCGAAAGGAGAAACTGAAAAGCACCCATGGCTTCCAGCACTCAGATTAGTTTAAAGCTTGCAGAAGGTATCTTTGAGCAACCTGGTCTAGTGGAAGGTGTCCCTGCCCATGGCAGGGGGGTTGGAACTGGATGGTCTTTAAGGTCCCTTCCAACCCAAACCGTTCTGTGATTCTATGATCGTGATGACAAAATACAATTTAGGCAAGTCTAACCTAACATGAACGTTAGAGAACCTGACCTCTCAAATGATTATATAAACCCCACACTGTGAAGTCCAGATATAAATTAGTTTTGTTATTTAACAGATTACAGACACCATGCTTAAAGACTCCCATCCTGCCTGAAGGAGAACCCTAGTCACGTCAGAATGTTCGAGGGACAAGAAATACCAGACTATGCCCATGCACACAGTGGGAGTTGGGTACTGAAATTCCCCTGCTATTTACAATAACCCCATCCTGTGACTGTAGTATCTGTGAGTAAGGGTGGTAGCGTACCATTTCACCAACTTCACCTGCAAGGCCCAACACGAAAAGCTCAGGCATTAAGTTACGCTTTTTATTATGGAAAAGCCATGTATCACTCACTCCAGTCAGACACACAAGCTCCAGAGAAGCCTTGGCAAAGCAAGTAACCTTCACTACTCCCCTTTGCCCTGGGGGTGGGCAGAAATCAAGACCTGCCAGCTGTCAAAGACACTTGTCCCACCTTCTACAGACACAGTGGTCATGAGATACCTTCTTTCTTGTTCCATGGCAAGAGGACAGTCATAGGAGGAAGAGGTTTGTCTGAGTCGCTGCGTTGGGCTGAACTCACGCAGTGTGTTTGCAATGAGGGTTGGCAAGCAGCAGAGCTGTCAATTCTTGTAGAACTTGTTCACATCCCTGAACAAGCAGCAGGAAGACTTCAGGCCTTCTGCACTGGCTTTTTGACTTGCAGCTTGTGCCTCTCCTGTCTTAAAAAGCATATATATGTACACACTACCTCAGAATCAAAGTACTCTTATCGAGAAATCTACCTGAAACCCTTACTGCAGAACTAAACATGGCAAAGCCATCGACAATAGCCTTCTGGGGCCTGCATGCTTCTGCCCTCATTCTTGGCTTTTGCACAGAAAAAGAGAAGGTGGACAGACAGCAGCTGTGAGCTGACTGCTCTCAGCTCCTGCCTGACATGCAGTGTTCAGCAGAAAGCAAGTCACACTGAAGGTAAGAATGAGGCCCTGTGGTATGGAAGTAAGCCCCCAGCATCGCACAGTGTTTCAGCTTCTCTTCTACCATTGTTTCTCATCCTTGCTCTTCCCCCCTGCCACTTCCAAACAAACGTGCTCGAGGACGGAATGCAAGAATGGAGCTCATTTAAACTTCTTCCAACAATTTAAACACCCATTGAGTGTATGAGGTGACTTGGAAGAAGTCTGTCCTGCTCTCCCTCAAATTATCATTTGATTAAGGAATGACTGCAGTTTTTAAAAAGGTTCTAAGGAATTTAAGCAGCTACTGAAGTCCTTATTGCTGAGGAGAAAAAACTGAACCAGCAGCGTTATACCTGTGTGATGACCGTCCCCGTACCTGGTACACTGTTACTATCATCTGCCACCCTAGACTGGTTTTAGACAGTTTCACATGTATATTTTATGAACACAGGACAAGAGAATTAAACGAATGAGAACTAAGTGGACATACCTATTTTTATTACCAAAAAATGAAATCGATGCATTTACTCTATTCAGCTTTTTCTTTTAAAATTTTACCTTTTATTCACTCATCAAGAGCCAATAAGTTATATAAATCATAGTAGTTTTCATTTCCTTACTGAAGTAGTCAAGATTTTCACTTGGTTTTATGCTAACTTGGTAGCACATCAGATCTTTAGAAAGAGCGTACTGGTCTTTGCTTTTCCGCTGAGATTCCTCCTAAAAACGCTACCTTTCTTGCGCAGGTTTCCAGGAAACCTCTTCCCCGTCACCAGCAAAGCACTGCAGTTCCCCCCGGGAGGTTCCAAATGCAGCCGTATCAGGTGTCAAGGCACTCGATGCTGTGCAGGTCCATTCGCCCCTGGAGAACCAGCCCGTGAGGCCGGCACCAGCCCTTCCCCCTCACCACTGCTCTTTAAGGGAAGCCAGGAATTACGCTGGAGCTCCATGCTGAAGGCAGGGGCAATGATTCCATTTGACAGATGTTAAACCAAATACTTTGTATTTAATTACGTTAAGAGTTCCAGAAGGTTAAAACCATAGACAAATGCACAGAACTTCTGGCAATGACAATGAACTGAGGCAGAAACACTGTCATCCCCACGCTTTAAACCGTGTCTAAAGCAACTTCTAAACAAGTAGAATTTGGGATACTCATGTAGAACTTAAACTGTGATTTTTCTTTGCTTTACCTAGTACGAAGGGTTTTCAAACACTTCAGTAACTTATAACTAGTCCCACGGTTGCCCTTTTCCCATCTGCTTCTCATAAGCAGATGCTCTGCTTTGTTACCAATAATGGGTTTATTTTTTTCTCCCAACAACGACGCAATCTGGATTTCATGGTAAGACACAACAGCATTCTAGTCTTGCTCCTCTTCATCCCCATCCTCATCTTCATCCCCTTGATCTCCAGATTCAATATCATCTTCATCTTCAACCTGAAATTAAGAGAGATCAGTGGTGAGCAGTAACATCCCTTACTCTGATTCAACCTCTGAGGGCAAGACAAACACTGAGGGAGTGAAAATGAGCTTAAGGCTAATGAAAACGATGCTGCTGAATCAATTAGCGCTTAATGAAGGCAACTATCATCCTGTCACGTCACACAGTTCTTAACTTCTCTAAGGATGGCTGACGACTGGGAACAACAGCCTGTTCAGCACCATCAGTTCTGCCCTCAAGCAGCTTCGCACGCGCTTCACCTTCCCATGCAGCCGAGCGACTCGCGTCCTTCGCCCAACAGGCTGAGGAGGAAAACACCCATGTCCCAGCACTCTGCGATGCCACCAGCGAAGCTGCTCGCGTCTCCTAGGGTACCTGCTCCCTATTCAAGTCATTTACAAGTCAACAGACTCAAAGACTGCTCAGTCACACAGGACCTACACTTGCTACAAGTAGTTTTCCACCCATGCAGCCGAGCGACTCGCGTCCTTCGCCCAACAGGCTGAGGAGGAAAACACCCATGTCCCAGCACTCTGCGATGCCACCAGCGAAGCTGCTCGCGTCTCCTAGGGTACCTGCTCCCTATTCAAGTCATTTACAAGTCAACAGACTCAAAGACTGCTCAGTCACACAGGACCTACACTTGCTACAAGTAGTTTTCCATACAAATAGTTTACAGGACTTACACTTGCTACAAGTAGTTTTCCATACAAATAGTGCCTCTGCCCACCACAGACTCTTTAAAACCCTGTTTCTGCAGCTGAAGGTAAACCAGATGACTGTTAAAGGAAGGATTACATTTTGATAGTTAAGGACTGCATAAATGACAGACTGATTGCCCCCTGACAGGAAACCCAGGCTCCAACTTTGTGTTCAGCCTCAGTAACTGCAGCACTACAACTAGTTACATCCACCTCACAGTCACACGTCCAGCTGCGAGTCACAAGGATCTTTCTAAGGAACTGCCCAGAAGTCAAGGCTCCCAGAAACTGCCCTAACAGTCTGCAGTGCTGCTGAGGGAGCAGACTAAAGTTATCACTTATCTGTGGAACAATCCCTTAGGAAAACAGCGCGGCCATCATCTTCTTTCCACCTGGCAGCCAGGACAAGCTGCAGCAAGGCCAGGCACGTGGTCAGGTGCTGTTGCACACACATTCATGACAAGTATTTTTCCTCATGGGAGTTTGGCAGGCAGTTCTCAACATCCCTACGCCGAGCACTGCTTTCACCAGTCAGTTGTCATCATTTATTGGTGGCTGCCAATATAAGTTCAGGAAGCCACCCCAGTAGATTCAACAGCCACCTAATTATAGAAAGATGCCTCACCAGACTAACTGGATCAAGCGTTGCCATACCCAGACTGTTCAGACCTGCCTCGGATCTGAGAACTCACTTCACCCGTTGTTTTGCTCACCGGTACACCAAGATCCTTCAATTTGATCTTCAGTGCAGAGAGTTTCTGATCCTGGTCAGCCAACAGCACCAGAAGATCATCCTGTTCTTTCTTTGATTCTGCAACTTCTTGCTGAAGTTTACTTTTCTCATCTTGCAAGATAGCAACCGTACTACTGGATGAATCCAAGTGCTGTTTTAGTGACTCTTTTTCCTCGGAAAGGGCTTTGACTTCACTCTAGCAACAGGAAAAATCACACATCGTTACACCGTAAGCACAGGAACAGCTGGAGCCTTGTTTCCTACAAACATATTCCATACTACCCATAACAGCTCCAACCCCACCAAGTGCCCTGTGGCCTTGCTCCCACACACTTCCTTAACCAAACTTACTGCCATCCAGGAATAAGGTAAAAGTCTTAACAGTAGCTACCTTCCTCCCAGCCAGACTGGATTGCCCATGTCAGACTACGGCCATCTCCTACACTGTCCTTACCAGCTCTTTACAGGCAGACACAGCCTGCATTTCCCGAGCAAAAAACAGAGGAGATACATCCAGCCTGAAACACTTAAGATGCTGAGGAAACAAACCCCTTCCACCCAAAGCCTTTCCTGCTGTAGAATTCCTCCTAACTGAAGGCTGAGTATCAAGTGACTCGGTGTTCATCCACTACCAACCTCCAGTTCTTTTATTTCTTGCTGAAGTCGTCCCTCCAGTTCAGAGCTGTTTGCTGCTGTCGCACCATCTCCTAGCACAGGATCTGCGGTTGTATTCTGTGGACAAGAAATTCAGTGTCAGAGCACCGAATGCTTTGCATACAGACACAGCAACCAAAGATGTTACACAGTTGTGGAATTTAAAAGCCTATTTTCTTCTTACAGAGCAGACAAGGTGTGGTAGTTACATACATCCTGCGCTGCAAGGCATCAGGGAACAGATCTATGCTTCCCGGGGTCTCAGTAAGCATACATGCACGTACACACAAAAAGGGTAAGACAAGATGAAACCCTCATTTCACAGAATTTGCACTCTAAAGAGACCGTTATGTTTTTTTCTAGGCAGACCCTGTGTATTCCAGACCACCAGCCTTCACTCAGATGCTTCATAAGCGCTAAAGACTTTTTTTTCTTTACTAGGCTAAACACCCGAATCTTTATACGCGATTACTAAAAATAGCAATACTTTAGTCTCATCCAGTCCTACCCGCAGTTATTATTTCCCAAGCGTGGCAGCTGTCTTTAAGCTGAAACGGCTACACAGCAAGAAATCAAGACAATTGCTTCTCCAATTACACCATGTTTCAGTCAAAGCTGTAGGAAAGGCAGGCAGTCTGCAGGATGGCAGTGAGGTGGTCTGACAGCTGGTGTCGGCACAGAACACTTGAAGGTGCTTCCGCCCCATAAGCACACACGGCCAACAAGTGCAACGGCACCGTGTATCACAGCAGCTGAGCCTTTGGACAGCGCAAGTGTTGGAAGCCTTCCTCTCTCAGATGATCTGTACATTAAACTTGGTATTTTCACCACACAAGTCCTCTTTCTTGCAATACCGAAATGAGAATTTGGTGCGCAAGTCGGAACAAACCAGCCAGAAGCAAGGATTCAAGCCAGTCCGGCTTTGTCCTGTCTTCACAACAGCAGAGTTGTCAAGCAAGGCACACAGGAGCTACGCTCGCCATGCCCGAGCACCAAACATCACACACTGTCATCTTTTCTGTTGTTCACGTGGCCCATGTTCCTGCAGCTTTAGGTTAGCTCTGCTCTGGAAACCAACGTTTTCAGGCAACTCACCGTGTAACTTCTCTAGCTCAACATTCACATCCTAATCCTGTCGGCTAGTTTTGAGGACACGCATCTGTGTAGCTATTTCTCTAAGGCTTTACTGGCCAATCTTTTCAGTACACAGCTAGAACATGCTCTGAAGCATCTGGAGATCTGCCCAGACACATGTACCTACCGTGTGCTGTTCAAATGCACGTCAACTTTCAGATCAGCAGCCTCAACTGTTTGTAACGCTAATGATCCCCCTGATATCCATGATGTCGTGCATGTGCCTCACTAGAGATTATCTTCTTTGATTAGGGTATAAGCTTAAAACACCCAATAGTTGGTATTCCTTTGTTTAAAAATACCAAGGAGCAGTGGCCTCACAGAGGCCTGACTGGAAACCCCCTCTTTCCTCACAAAGGATTTATGGAGGTAACACATGACTTCATTTAAAACACTGTTAGAAACCCTTGCTATTATGTATTTTTAAAACAAGCTTGGTTTAGGACAGTAACTATGGACAGCATAAGCAGGAAAGTGAAGTCTTCAAGATTTAGTCCCCAAAGAGAAAATAAGGAACTTTTTCACTGATACCATTACTTGCAGCTTTTGATTCTCCATCTGAAGCTTAGAGATTTCTGCAGACTGTAGTTGTAGCTGACTCCTGAGCACTTCTAATTCCTTTGGGAAACAAAGATGAAACACATTTTTAATTTCATTGGATAAAGCAAGGTAGTTAATTAAATTTTTCTTAAGTTAAATGCTACCAGAGTAATTGCTTCCCAGTAGCAGACACGAGAGGAGAACCGTGCCTCTGTCGACAAGAGCACAGCAACCGTTCCTCTAGAAAACACAACTCCTCAGCAACATGCACCGTTTTCCACACTGTTCTGGCAAACTCTTTTCTGCGGAATGCCCAACCAAGGCCCCTGTCCGAGCCTCAGTCATGTTTATAAAGGTGTTTCAAACCACCAGCACTCCCATTAGCATCCTCTACGCATTACCATTCTTGGTGCAGAAGCCCATTACAAATTACCAATCTAGGCATTATTAAATCTCTCATCAGAGAAACTCTGCTAGGTATTTTTTGAGCAACAGCTGGCTTGAATTATTGAACCTGCAGATATTTAAACACCTATTGTATGCTGTACATCTAATTCTCAGAAGCTTTCATATCACAATTTAAAGGTATCTTCTGCAAAGGACAAACTGATTTTGCAAGTCCAAAGTGTCAGCTGAAGTGTCTTCTGCTGGTTCAAACCTGCTTAGCAAAACCAACTGGTTCGGTTTTGGATGCGCAGTTTGATGCTCCAAGGTTAGTACCATCATCACATAAAGGTATGCCATTAAAAACATCACCACGCTCCGGAATCGATGCTCCTCCCTCACATTTGAGAAAGCTGCCTTCCCATCCCAAGCTACCACTCTTCACTGCAGCTTTACTGAAACAATGCAATTGACCTTCTGTAGTTCATTACTGAGCTCCAAGCCACCGGATTTGCTGGTCTGTGAAGGCTGTTCTGGTGTTCCCATTTCCAACTGTGACGAGTTCTGTAACAGCAACAGGAAAATCAGCCATAGACTGAGACATGATCAGAGTTCCCAGCAGAGAAGGTGCAAACAGGCCAAGAAATGGACACCATGGACGCAAAAGCATCTTTCACCAATCCAAACGCGTAAGATGTGCACAAAACAGAAGCAGCATGTGTCATCCTGCATTCTGACAAGCCAGCCACCATGAGTATGTCTTGGACATGACCCCCAGTAAGCTGCTAGGAGACACTGTGCTGGTTTTAGCTGGGACAGAGTCAATTAGCTGTGCAGCAGCTAGCATGAGGCTGTGTTTGGGATATGCACTGAGAAGAACGTTGCCAACACCGGTGTTTTCAGTTGTTACTAAGGAGTGTTTGTACCATGTCAAGGACTTTTTCAGTTTCTGATACCGTGTCTGCCTTCCCAGCTTCTTCTCTACAAGAAGCTGGGCAGGGACACAGCCAGGACAGCTGACCCAAACTGACCAAAGGGACATTTCATTCCATAAAAGGTCACGCTCAGTATGTAAGTTGGGGGGTGAGCCAGGAGCCATGATGGTTGGCTGGTCAGCTTTCTCAGTTGCTCTCACTCACGGGGCTCGCTCTGGCTCTGGCACGATCTCTCTTGGGCTACTCAGGACCTGTCTGGGCATCGGGCAGCAGGTGGTGAGCAACTGTATCATTGTTTTATTTTCATCACATATTATCAGTGGTATTGTTAGAATCACTGTTTTATTCCTTTATATTCAATTATTAAATTGTTCTTACCTCCATCCACTACCTCCCTCCCGATTCTCCTCCTCCACTGAAGGAGGTGGGAGGTGAGCGAGCGGCTGTGTGGTACTTATTTGCTGGCTGGGATTAAACCACGACAGACACCCAGCATTATTTTTCCCCAGCCAAAACATGCTAAAAAAACAGATTCTACAGTACAACAGGTCAGCTGCACAAATTACTTGAGTGTGAAGCAGAACACTCTGCTCAAGCCACCTCCCCCTGTACTTCCTGTCACCAGCATGCAATCAGTTACGACTGCCATCATAACCAGGGCTTGCACAGGCAAAGTACATTGGGAAACAGGAACTGAAAGCCACATCAAGCTCTGCTGAGACAGTTAGTGCTTACCAATTTTTCAATCACAGAATCCCTTTCCCTCAACTGCCCTTGTAGCAGTTCATGCTTGCTTTTCCATTCTTCCAACTCTTCTTTCAACCTGCTCACTTCTTCTGTCTGAATGCCGTTCATCTGAAACGTATCGCTGTGGGAATTATGATGCTGAGTGTCCTTTCCTAAAAGACAGTTTATAACAAAGGTCACAAACACCAACATCATTTGGAAGTTAGAGTCAAACACAACAATTGAAGTATTTATTGCCCATCCTCCTCACGCCCCACAGAGCAATACAGTCCATTCTAACTCGAGAACAGAAACAGAGCGTTGAAGAATTCTCTATCAAAATTTGATTAAAAAGCTCTAATTTGCTACTCCTCCCAGTATTATTTGAGGCTGCACCTGCATGCTGCTTCAGTCATTCACTTCATCCAAGGTAAGATCCTAGACAAACCATTCTGAAGAGGAAGAACAATTGTTTCCTTTAGTACTTTTCGTTGTGAATAATCCTGAAGGCAGAATTACTCTCTGAAATCATGTCATCCACAGCTTATCAGGCATCTTGACCTCGGAAAAACTTGAATATAGTGCCCTGATTTAAGCATTCAGTTAATCTCTCTAATGACAGTGACAGGCCTCATCTTGCCATCAGCCATTCCACAATTCTTCCCTAATTAATGCCTTCATTGCCAAACTCAAACTTCAGGACACACTGTGGCCCATCTGTTCACATTCTAAGTCTGAACAGACAAAGACTATTTTGGACTAAAAAACCGAATGTGTAGAAAGCCTCTACCAGCAGCTCCCTGGTAGCCAAACGTTCCTACAGCTCTTACAGAATCACAGAATGGTTTGGGGTGGAAGGGACCCTAAAGACCATCCAGTTCCAACCCCCCTGCCATGGGCAGGGACCCCTTCCACTAGACCAGGTTGCTCCAAGCCTCATCCAGCCTGGCCTTGAAGACTTCCAGGGATGGGGCATCCACAGCTTCTCTGGGCAACCTGTTCCAGTGCCTCACCACCCTCTCCGTGAAGAACTTCTTCCTGAAGTTTCTGAAGTGAATTTCAAGAGACCCAGGACTTAAGCACAAAGCAGGAACAAATTATACCTCAATCACATTTTCAAGCTGTCCTCTCAGCTCTCAGGCTGCTTTATTCTGCAGGTTTAAAGGCACTTAAACCAAAACCTTGTCTTTTTAGACAATGAAGCTGATCTGATGCTTAAACAAAACTGTTCACAATGCTCGACATCAACTGCAAAAAATAGGTATTTTCTCCCTATGGGAAGTTTTTGTATGCTGCAGAACATACAACAGCATGCCTGAAGGGACAGAAGGTTGTCTGCTGGAGCTGTTCCGCGACGTGCCATAAATCACCCAAGATCTTTGCGCTAGCAAGATCATATCTTATGATTCTTTCTGAAGCCTACCTAGCTGTACTTTAAGGAGATTGTACTGGTCCTTATGCTGCTGGATCTGCGACACTTGCTGCGTAACCGTTGCTTGGAGCTGTTCATTCTGAGATGTTAAAGTGTTAATTCGTTGTTTTAATTCTTCAAGCTCCTGGTCCTGTGAAAGGTAAAAGAAGTCAGAAGACTTTTAAATACCATACTGTCAGGAAGGCAAAGACAGACAGAAAAACCTTAACTCCACCATTACACACTACTGGCTAGGCACACTGTCAGGGCTACCTGTGAGAGGTGAGCAGAACAGCCTTATGCAAACCTAAATAGCTACTCCTAGGAAAAAAGCCTGGGAAAGGCAGAAGCAGCTTATCAAACCAGACCGATGCCTTTGAATCTTTGTGGGACCCCTCCAGCATCCCCACACCAGGGAGAAGGAAAGCAGAAACGCATGAAATGTGATGGTTGTAATTTTGCTCCATCACACTGAAGCCTGCACACGTTGGTCCACGTTGGTCTTTAAAGAAGTTGTGGTGATTGTAGTCACCACACGCTCCGTCAAGCCTCTCGGGTGGTTCAAAAGTGCCCTTTAATGCACTGCTATATTCTGTGTCCATTCCACATCCCCGAACTGACACCACCTGCTTCAGTTCCCCATTAGCTATTTAAGTTAATTAGCTTAGCTCCTCTACTTCTCAGTCTAAGTTATGGCAGCAATCTGAGTGAACTACGGCTGGCAAAAAGACAAATGAGAGTCCAACCACCATTATACCCAAACTTCATCGTCAGAGTTCACTTCTTCCTTCAGCCCCATTTCATCTGTCATCTTCCCAAAGGTGAAAGCACAGAACTAAGGATTGTATCTCGTTGCAAAGGGCTGCAAGTTCTACATTTGAAAGGAAACCCTTCTCCGTAAGGAAAGGGCAGATGGATCACAGGAAAAATAATTAAACTTAACCAGTATGCTAAATACTGACATTTCAGTTTAACCAGAAAATTCTCAGCTTAAGTGTTTTTAGAAGTGTTTCTGCATTGCTAAATCCTTTGTTACTAGCTTTGGAACGGAACCGGGGATCAAACTGCACGGAGGTGCCTCCAAAAGCCAGAACACACAACTTGGGGAGACACATGTACAGCCCAACGTCCTCTTACCTGCTCTCTGATGACCTTCTTGTAGTGAGTCACAATGTTGTCATGCTGTTCCAATGTCTTCTTGACCTCCTCCTCCTTTTTATCTTCCTCACTGGACTTGTAAATAGCTTTACTTATGACACCTGCCAAAAACACAGTTTCTGTCAACTAAAGCCGTGTTCACATCTCTCTTTTTGCCCTCAACAGTCTCACAGCCTCACCCACTTTTACTGAGTTCGTGGCATTAGAAATTCAACCTGCCCTTTAAAAAAAAAGAAATTGTCACAAAAAGGTTTAAGAAAATCAGAAATGGCAATTTTTTTTTTTATGGCGAGGTTTGCACACTTCCTGTTTTGCACAGTTTCTGAAACAAATGGCTGTTTTGAGTTGTTCCTATCAGAAATGGTGTGTTTTACTTGCATTAGTAGCTGGGAAATATTAACAAGCAGGACATCAGTTACATGTTAAGGATGATGACAATCTGTCTTTTCTGTGAAGGACAGAAAACACTAAGGAAAGCCTCTGTTCTCTAACAGGCCAGGAAATTCAGCATTCGTATTTTTTTCTTAATGACTCAGAAAGAACAAATACCTAGAATGTGTACTTCCACGAATCAAGCTTCTATGACCATTTCATGTACTCAGTATTTGAATCTCTGTGTGTGCACAGGTAAAAACACCTCTTGGCCAGCATGTGATAACTCACAGCATGTATTAAGAATCATTTCACCTAAGAATGTGAAGTTATCCAATTAGTACAAGCCCTGATTATTGGCTTGTACTGGGAGTGTTTTTGCTAAGTACTTGAACTGGGAGCTTGAGCATGCGATTACCATAACACCTTTTAGAGAATACTCCACTTTAGTACCACCACACTATTTTTAACAAGGTTACGTTCAGCACATTTAGTAGTTCAGTCATCAGTTCATCACAAAAATAAAAGAAATGAGCATAACATCTCACCTTCCAATTCCTTTACAAGCTTCGTAAATTCATGATCAAACATCATGTGGTCTGGGCTAGAAAAACTAGGCTGTGGTTTCTGAGCAGCTCTGGAATAAAGTTCATGTTTGCTAATGAAGCCAAGCTTCTCAATGAAGTTCTCCCTGCCAATCCTCTTCTCTATCAGCTGCTTCAGCTTCTCTCTAGAAGGAGAAAACAATCACAGTGCAACAGCTGAAGGAGGATGAAGCCATTCTTCCCTCAAGGGGGTTTCCGCAGTTACAACTCCGTCTGGCTCGGGTCCTACTGCACTAGATGCCTCACATTCAAGATAAAATTCTTCAGTTGGCAGTGACATCTGTTCTCAGCCCAGGAATACACAGGTTCCTGTGGTTTTTTGCGTAATACCTACGCAAAACTACTACCTGCTTTGCCTAGCTAGAGGTGGGCAGGTTATTTTGCATCCTGTAAGGAACATGCATGGAAAAGATTCAACCAAATATTCTCCACTGCATCACTCATTTTAAAGCCTCTTAAACCACTATCTCTTATTCACAGAACCTCCCCTTGCATTATTCTTATTTCAACATCATAATACTTACTTCCTATAATTTTCAAGGGAATTGTCATTGTAGTAGATGGAAATGCCAAGCAAAAGTGCACACAGGCCTTGGACAAGCTGCTCCTCTTCTCCGAGGTTTTCAGCTATCTGCCCTGTGAGCTAGAGCTCTTGTTAAGGACATTAGAGACACTTCATAAGCACAGTACATGTAACATACTTTTCCCTAGATAAATTCCAGTTAAAATCATTCTCACGTGTAAAATGAATCTTGTTTAGGAAACAGGCAAAATGGCTGCTGAGAGTCTCACAAAGCTAGCTCCTGTTTTGAAAGACTTGGGTAATCAGTGGTTTCCCCAAAAATTCTTATCTGCTTAATCGAAGAGTTGTTCCAAAACAAACTTTCGGGTTAAATAAGGTGACAGCTCAGCTTTGCGTACTTCAGTCAGACTCGTTCCTGAAAAGCAAGCACAGCTCCAACTGAAGTAGGAAGCTTTCTCCCTACCTCTTGGGTAGAAGCATAAACAACACTAAAAATACCCGTGGGCTTGTCGCACTAAAAACCGCACCTGCCTGGCAGAGCACCGCAGCTCTGCACTGGACTGTAATTACAGGCACATCTCCTCGACAGGTCAGCGCACACAGCACTGTCACCAACGGGCTGGTTCTCCCTCTCACCCCAGTGAATCTTCTTCTAGGTCATGCTGCGTCCCTGCAAAGTGGTAAAACATTCAACTGCCACGTGGATAATCCAAGTCGTTTCTAGGCAAGCGGCTCTACTCCGCCAGCAGGTCAAGGATACAAAAGGTACGTTGGCTGGATTGTGAAGGAAGTGGGTGACAGCAATGGAGCAGCTGCTTAGCCAGGTACAAAGCAACATCAGTAATCCAACCCTGGTCTGCACTTTGCTGCCCTGAAAAGAATAAAACCCCTGTTATTATCTTTCCACAATGGAGGACTAAAATACTAAAAACCATATTAAACAACCCCACGTCTTTCAAAATACCCATTCGTTAGTTTTTCGGAACACAGCTTTAGTGCTTTGATGAAACAAGTATTAAACCATTCATATTTAACTGTTTTCAGAGCAAAACAAGCAACACAGATGTGATGTATGACTCAATGCAAATTAGCACTGATATAAAATCATAACAAATTAGTTCTGCGTTTCTAATTAAGACTAGGGTAACGTGAAGGAACATACACAACCCCTGTAAAGAGGAACAAGGTGCAAATGGAGTCAGGTAAGGATTCCCTAGAAGAAGTGATGCCTCACTAAGACTTCCCTGGCTGACCAGAAATTGCCATGCGTTCGTAACGTTATTTTCCAAGTAAAGAAAGATAATGCTGGAGTGGCTTTTGGTTCAGACAATATGCACATTAAGCCAGCAAGAGGAATGCTGGCTGCAGTGTTTGTTTTTGTTAACTAGGGAAAATGAGTTTTCATCTGCAAATTGACTGTCTCCTCAATTCTGTCCCCGTTGTCTTTACTGCAGATACCGTGGGCGCAGCAGCGTTACGACAGGCACACACGTCTACCAACAGTCGATGTTCAGAAGGCAACCTAGAAGAACATCCCCTGCACGGAAAACTACATCTCACACAAGCACCTAACAAATTGGCTAAAGTGACCAAAGCTGAAGTCAAGTCTTGAGGGCAAGATGAGGCATACAGAACTGCTGGTGGGGCAAGAAAATACACTGCAGCAAGTGGCCACAGGGATCAAGACAGTGGCAAAAGAGAGAAGTATTTGTCAACAACAAAGAGCCCGTGCTCAGGGCTAACTGCGCTTGAGAGACTGAATTTCCATCCTTGCTTCTGACAACCCCTATTCCAACAGCCAGTGAGCAGCAGCCTGGCAAAAAGCTTCTGGAGCAGGCTCCCAACTACCCAACTGCCACTGCAGACCGCAGGACAGACAGGAATGGAGTCTAGCAACTCTGGAAGGGAACACCAAGCTCTGCAGAGACTGCCTTCAAGGACTTCCTTCTGAGGTGCCACGATTTGCTGCCATCTACCACCATCGCTAAGATGAACCAGTCCCCTCAGAGGAGGAAAACACCGATTACAGATATCAAGACTGTGGCAGCCATCCCTGAAGCTGCACACGTGGAAAGGGAGCGTCTGACCCTCTTTCATCGTTATCATGGTCATTACTTCCCGAGAGCCAAGTGAGCAGTGTCAGAACAGCAGAGAACCCAGCCATCACCAGTGGCACAGCACCTGCCTGCGATGTCTCAGGGAGTACTGCATAGCAACCATCGCTCAGTCTTTGCTACAGGTTTGTCGTGACCCTGTCATGCTGTTGTGTTAACACACAGATCGCTGCTGCCACCCTTCTAGCTGAATCCCACAACCGATTCCCACTGACCTAGACCTCACTGCAGGTTGCCCAGCCCCCACCAATCTCCACCATCCTCTCGCCTACTTCTTTCCTCTGGACTTTCAGCTTTCCCCATCACCACCTTCCACTGGGTAGTGACATTTATTTCCAAGACATTCTAATGATGAGACATGTCGAAGAGACAACATACAGCAGGTTTACCCACAAAGGCAAGACAGGGTGCCCACTTTTGGTTACCCACTAGGCAAGGCCAAGCACTGTGTTCACAATCCAGTCTTCAGGTGAAGCGTGAACAAAGACATGAGGTGACAAATCATAGGTCTTAGAAACTCATACAGAAAATCACCCGCCGCACCACACGAGCGTGGTGAACTGCAACAGTACTGTCTTGTCAAACAGCTTTGCTGAAGAACCTGCTGACCACACAGGCCCTGCTTGCTCTGCTGAAGCCTCTGGACAGGCAATTTGCTTCTTCACTGCTATCTCGCAGAACTACAGGATCACTTGGGTAGAAAGGGATGCTGGAAATGACAAGGTTGTGCACTGCTTTAGCACAAGAGCACTGTAAAAGCACTAATTCTGCCCAAATTACTTCCAGATTAGATGCAGGAACAACCTCACAACACTGCCAACTGTGTAACTTAACCTGTCCCAGAAACCCCTCTGGGGAAACATGACGCTAATGCAGCGGCGCTGAAGGATGGAGTGTCCTGGCATCCGCTGGATGGGCGGAGGATGGAGCATCCACATTCTACCCTTGCACTGTGTCCCCCGCCCTGCAAGCACCATTATGCAACAGACAGGGAAACTGCCTCTTTTTCCCCACTCATTGCCCCTCACCCCTCAGGCTGCTTCAAAACTGCCAGGAATACCTTTTCCCCTGTCCTTCCATTCTAAAGGGAAAGCTATGCCCCTTCCTGTGCTCACCTTTAAAATCTTCAGCAACCCTGACAGCAGTTCGCTTGGCTTGGCCAACTCCACCAAGCTCCAAGCGCGCATTTAATCCCCCAGTAAGTACCCAGACAACACTGCTTTCATATTCTGGGACAGACAAAGTTACTTGGAGTGACCAGAACCAGACTGAATAATTACAGACATGGCTACAACACCCGTTATCTGTGCAAAGACATCGGTCGCGCCAGCTCAGTACTGTCAAAAGATGGAGTCAATTCTTCCCTAACAGAAGAAAAAGAAATGCTTGCTTCACGTCGAACAAGCAAACAGTACTAGAAACCCTTTCTCCCTCGCTTGCATTTACAAGTGCCTTTTCTTGTCCCAGTGCTGTTAGCCAGTTTATATGCACTAGGAATAACCACCACCGGCACTCTGGCCCTGTGACACGCTGGCAGAGCTCGTGCTTCCAAGAGAGCACTGGTAGAAGCGTCGCTTATCTCGTCAGAAATGCAAGAGTTACTTTTGCTTGTGTGACCCAGCATTTGCAGCACTCGTTATTTGCTGGAAGCAGTGGCAAACCACATTTATTCTCTCAAGCACCGCGTGCTATTCTGAGGTCAAATTAACATATTCAGCCTAAGGGTCTCCACACAGTCCAAAACACCCTCTCTAAAAATAAGTAACACTGGTAAGCGGAACGTACAAAGTGGCAGGTTAAACACACTTTGTCTTTTAGGAGTCAGGAAATCAGCAGCGTGTTCCCACTTCAGCTTGTACCAGCTGTTTGCTGCAGGCCAGTCTGAGAAAACAGCACTTCTAAGAGCTGTAGTTTTTCTTACAAGCGTACACATCCGTTAGGTGAACGGATAGTGAATGAGTCTGCCCCACTGGAAAAAAGCACCCATGCTACCCAAGATGTTTATCCCATAGTTTTGTGGAACACCGCCACAGAATCCCCCGGAGATAACAGAAAGAGCTTGTTATGCCAGGAAAAAACCCAAACCCAACGGCAACACAAAGCTGTAAGTGGAAACACATCAAAAAGCAGTTAAAGAAAACCTCCCCAGCAAAACCCAAGACAAGAGGAAAAGGCCTGCTTTTGGCAAGAAAATGCCAAAGCCGTGCCAAAGAATACATACCCGTCTGTCGATCTTATCACCCTGCAAGTTACACACATGTTACTTTGAGAACCTTCAAGTGGCACACATTGCAGAAACACCCCCCCAAGTCCCTTGTAGCATTTAGGGCTAAAGAGCCACAGGCAGTTTTACTGAGACTCAGGTTTACCTTAGGCAAAAATTCCGGGAAAAGGATAAAAAGCAGTACTCTCTATGTTGAGGCAAAGCGGATGAAAAAATTCACCTGAATGAATTGATAGTTCCAGCATTACGGTATTATTCTCAACTGCGGGAAAGTAACTGCTGCCAGAGTTAACTAGCTCCTCATTACTACAACCATTCAGGGAAAAGTATGATAACAAGCCAAGTCTCAAGGAGTGTGGGCTACGAGGTGAAGTTCACTCAACTGGTCATTTGCAGAGCCAGGTGTTAACATTTTTAACAAGTTCAAAAAAGGTTTTAGGTCTGAACAGCAAAACCAACAACAATCAATACCTAAGAGCCTAGCGTTTTCAAAGTGTTTCCAGTCAGCAGTTACAGGTTAAACACCAGCCAGGCGCTTCTTCAGCAACAAAATGTGACTGGGGATCCTGACGGTTTGCCTTGTCTTTTAAACCAAGTTTAGAGGGTAGATCTAGATTGGATATCAGGAAGAAATTCTTCCCGGAGAGGGGGGTGAGACACTGGAACAGGTTGCCCAGAGAAGCTGTGGATGCCCCATCCCTGGAAGTGTTCAAGGCCAGGCTGGATGAGGCTTGGAGCAACCTGGTCTAGTGGAAGGTGTCCCTGCCCATGGCAGGGGGGTTGGAACTGGATGGTCTTTAAGGTCCCTTCCAACCCAAACCATTCTGTGATTCTAGATGCTTTAGGACCCTCTGCCTACTCAAAGTGGGTTAACATCAAGCAGCAATCGCTGATGAAAAAAAAAAAAAAATCAAGATTCACTGCTTTTCTCCTCCCCATGAAGCACAGACTGCATTAAACAAAGCCAAGAAACAGCAGGAGAAAGAATCCTCCCTCTCACTAAGGCAGCACTCACGTCTTCATGCAACGCAGCTGCACAAGAGCAGCATTCTTCCTGGACACCCAGTTTTAACCGGAAGCGGGGGGCAGGCGGTGCCGTACCTGCGAGAGGATGTTGGTGCACTGCTGCAGCAGCGACACTGGGGGGTTGCCGATGCTCGTCGCCAGCTGCACTCGCAGGAGCTGTTCTTTCAGCGTGGCGTTTTCCTGTAACGCGTGGGCCAGGGCCACAGCGGCACACCAGTTTGAGAGAGAGTCCGTGGAAAAAAGGCCCCCGCAGAGCAGCTGACCAGCTGAGACCGAGTTACCTGTAGCTACCAGAACAGCCAAGATGCACAAGTGAGATTGAAACAAGCCACAAAACCAGCAAGACATCAGCATACAGTTAAAACTCAGAAAAAATGAAGCTAGTCAAGTTTAAAGAAATCATAAGACAAATCATCTTGGTTGGATGAGACACTCAGCGACAGGTAGATAATTCTGCAGAAGACACCAGCTGACGTATTAAACATTTGCACCAGTTCACAACTCCCTGCCGAGATGTTGGTTTTGCGTACCGTCAATAGTAGATGGCAGAAGCGTTGAGACGATTTCTCCTTGTCCTTTTTGGTTTTTGTATAGAAAGCACTGGAAACAATAGAGAACAGCACAACGTAGCACAAAAGGCTGCCTTTCGTTTACCATGGACATCAGGAGTACGACAATTGCAGGCCTGTTTGGAAAGGAAAGAGAAAAACCGTTAGGACAAAGTCATGAACGAAGACAACGGCAGATACACCATTTGGAGTGTAAAAAGAGAGACTTTTGCCTGCTCCATCTATTACCATTTCAAACATTTCCCTAAACCCTTTGCTTTTAACACCACAGTTTTTCGGTTAGTTAAAACCAACCTGTAGATTCATTATACGGGACTGCAACGAGCCCATGTTCTTCCGCAGTATTTTTATTTCCCATCAAGTCCCCCGTTGCTCCCTCCTCGCTCCAATAATTCTACAGAAAATGCCTCATAAGGCCACTCACAATGTGTAACACACAACGGTCTTTTTCTACCCTCACCCTCATATTCATAGAATCACAGAACGGTTTGGGTTGGAAGGGACCTTAAAGACCAAGATGTCCCAACCCCCCCGCCATGGGCAGGGACACCTTCCACTAGACCAGGTTGCTCCAAGCCTCATCCAGCCTGGCCTTGGACACTTCCAGGGATGGGGCATCCACAGCTTCTCTGGGCAACCTGTCCCACTGCCTCATCACCCTCTCCAGGAAGAACTTCTTCCTGACATCCAATCTAAACCTCCCCACTTTCAATTTAAACCCGTTACCCCTTGTCCTGTCACTACAGGCCCTTGTAAAAAGTCCCCCCCAGCTTCCTTGTAGCCCCTTCAGGTACTGGAAGGTGCAATAAGGTCTCCCCGGAGCCTTCTCTTCTCCAGGCTGAACAAGCCCAACTCTCCCAGCCTGTCCCCATGGCAGAGGGGCTCCAGCCCTCGGAGCATCTCCGTGGCCTCCTCTGGACTCACCTATTTTCAAATGTTGAGATTAAGAGCTCATTAAGCTAACACTCACCATTCCCCAGCCTGAGTAAATATCAATGACCTGCCTATTTTCCTAGCCTCTAGATCCTTCTGTAGACTGTCCTCTGGCTGACAGTGGCAGCTTGTCCCAGTCTAGGAATTTCTCAACTATTTTTTCAGGTACCACATAACAAAAAAAAACCAAAACAAAAAAACCCACAACAACCATTTCAAGGGCTCATCTCTATGGAAACACACCTGACACCTTCATGCTATTATCTAATACACCAACGTAAACTCGAAGCCGTTGCTGTCTATCATAATTCCCAACTCTGCATTTAAACAGTCCTGTGGATTAGACTGCCAATGCCCAGACCAATACATCATTACCTAACAGAGCTAAACACTTTTCTTCCTCTACCTCGGTGGATTAGAAGGTGCATTTACAGAGGCAAAGTAGTCTTGATTCATCTGGCATCCTCGAATGACCTCTGATACAGTATTTATGGTCTACAGGAAGGGTAAAGAAAAAAAAAAGAGGATAGTTAAATGTGAGCCATGATCTACTATCCACATCACTCAAAATTATTCAAGATAATGACAGCATAGTGTCAAGAAATACACACCAAGTCTCACCATTTAGTCAAAGCCATTCCTACTGAAATCCAAAACAATTAACATCAGCGTGTTAAGAACACACTATCAACATTCTTCTCAGCACAAATGCAAAACACAGTCTCACACTAGCTACTGTAAGGAAAATTAACTTTACCCCAACCAAAACCAGCACACCCACACAGGAAGGTGACATCTCTGGCACAGGAACGACATTCTTCACAAATACTACCACCTCCGTTTGCCTCGGTTATCCCTGTAGACCCCTGCTTTCCCTCATGTAGTTTCCCCCATCCCTCCATCTAGCCCCTCCCTCTTACTTCTGTCAGGATGTCAGCAGGAAAAAAAAGATCGTGCAGAGCTGCTGTAGCAACCCACAGTGAAACATGGCCTTCTGACAGCTGCTGGTAGCACCAGGGGGGTTTGTGGGAGACACGAGTACCCGCACAAGCTAGGAAAGAAAGAAATGTTTCTGTGTGAAGGGAGCCTGAGACTTTCTGAAATGCAGAACAAAAATTCACCCATTTGAAGTTTAACCATGAAATACAACTGCTCCTAAAAATGGTGATAGAAGACAACAATTAAACAGCACGTTCATCTCATTACTACACATGGACGTTGACTTTGAGTACAGCGAAACCCTCTCAAATCTTCAAATATCTGACTCTACCGCAAATGTTGCACCTAAGCGATGAGAATATTTTATTATTTGGCTCACCAGTTGTCAGAACTACACATTTCAGAAAGTGACAAACTCCATCATTAGCATTCAGCTTCCACACCAAGTGCCCCAGAACAGGAAACCCTTATTTCAACAGGCTTCCCAGAGGAGTGGTCGATGCCCTGAGCCTGCCATTGTTCAAACGCCATTTGGACAATGCCCTCAAAACCACGCTCTAACTTTTGGTCAGCACTGGAGTGGTCAGGCAGTTGAACTACATTGTCATTGTAGACCCCTTTCAACTGAAATAATAGAATCAACAGAATGGTTTGGGTTGGAAGGGACCTTAAAGATCATCTAGTTCCAACCCTCCTGCCATGGGCAGGGACACCTTCCACTAGACCAGGTTGTCTATTCTGGTCTATTCTATTTTTTTGGAGAGACAAGGAGGAGGGAAGATACCCAACAATCAATCATTACCCACAGTGAAGGCAGCTGCTGGAACTCGGTCAATGCACCACAGCCACACCTGAATTACCTGAATTCATACAGAAGGATTCTTGAACAGAACACCCCTCATTATGTATTTCATCTAGATCACTGTTACACAGAATCACAGAACGGTTTGGGTTGGAAGGGACATTAAAGACCATCCAGTTCCAACCCCCCTGCCATGGGCAGGGACACCTTCCACTAGACCAGGTTGCTCAAAGCCTCATCCAGCCTGGCCTTGAACACTTCCAGGGGTGGGGCATCCACAGCTTCTCTGGGAAACCTGTCCCAGTGCCTCCCCACCCTCTCTGGGAAGAACTTCTTCCTGATATCCAATCTAAACCTCCCCACTTTCAATTTAAACCCGTTACCCCTTGTCCTGTCACTACAGGCCCTTGTAAAAAGTCCCCCCCAGCTTCCTCGTAGGCCCCTTCAGGTACTGGAAGGGCCAGTAACATCTTTAGTTACACAATGAAGTGATGCAACACACCAGCCATCACAAAGTCACAATTTGTCAGCAGCGTTTGTGCTGCCAGCAGTACATTCCAGGAATGCTGGTACCTAGTTCTGAGCTAAAGACAACACGTGGGTTTCAGAGTTAACTGCCACATTGCACTTGCTCGTCACTGTGGGAGCTGAACAAGTGCTGACACTGGAACTTGGGATGAAGTGTTTTACCTGCAGCATCAGGTGAAGATTAGTTACTTTCTGCGCAGACCACCCACAGTTGTCATCGCCGACTTCAAACCAAGGCTTCATACGCTGAATGTACGAACCTTCTTTGAAGAAATTCTGATTGGAATTATTATTCTTCAGCAAGTTTTGTAATAGGAGGAGACAGTCTTCCACTACTATTCCTGGCGAGACCAAAACCACCAAAAGATTAATCAAAAGGTGACAAGTGGAAAACTAGTTTCTCCATGCACTAAGGATGTTCTAGATGGAACAGAGCACACACTTCCAAACTCTTCATTCTTAACAAACATCAGATTTGGATCAAGAACTGTGAACCTCATGCATGAAAACATAATCCTTTGATTATGTTTTGACTAACCTTTGTCAGTCTAAATTAAATACAAATGTTGATTGTCATGGTTTAACTCTGGCT